TGCACGCACCTGGACGTTCTTCCGTGGGTTCGGTGAACGAAAAAGCGGCGAGTTTTGAAGCTCGCTGAGGGGCAGCGAACGCGATCTGTGTTTCTGGGGCGACGGGGGAGAGGGCAATGCTTTTGCAGGGCAAGAGCAAGCATGAGCAGCCCAACCCTCGGCAAGAGCAAACCTGAAATCAGAGCTTCTCGCGAAGGGCGGCTGTAAGGATTGCTGTTGACCGATCAAGCGCGCCCGCCGAGCGTACGGGGATCTGGCCCTGGAAAACGCTGCCCCCCCAGCGACCTTCAAGGCGAGTTGCTTAACTCGCCGCAGGTTTTCTACCCACGGTTCCCGTGTCGACGCTTTTGGTTCAGCGATTGCAGGCTTCCCTTTGGCCCTGATGAAAGCCAGGGATGTCTGGGTTTCCGTTGTGCTGGCCACTCCGTCTGTGCTTAAGCGATTGGCATCGAAGACGTTTTGTTGTTCAACGCTGCCGTGTGGAACAATGCCTTGCTAAATGTGCGTTAAAACGACCAAGCCGATTGCGTCTTTCGCATTGTGTTTGACATCTTGCGGCGCCTCCCCCATGATTTTGTTTGCTTCGAGTGAGTGAGTGGGTAACAGTTTGTGCTTGCTCATTTGGGCAAACATGTGGGCGAATGCAGTTGCTATTTGAAGCGCGTGGGTGGTTGCGCCACTGCACACTTTCTACGGACCGTTTCAGCAGTAGTACGTTTCGCGTTTTGCATTTTGCTGTTGGCTTGCCTGTATGTCTATCTTGCTCTGTGAGCTGTCGCTTTTCGGTCCCTGGTGTCTGATCTGGCGCTTTACGTCTGATTCATCATTTACCGTTGCCCGCAGCGCCCGGTCCGGACACGTGCGTGTCCCTCGTAACATAAGCTGTTAGTATGTGTGTGTGTGTGCGTATGTGGTGGTGGGGGGGTGCGGGGGGTGCGCGTGTGTGTACTTGTGCGTGTTTGTGTGTAGTTGTGCGTGTTTGCGTGTGTATGTGTGTTTGAGCCTGCTTGCGCACTCGATATCTGCCTAGACCACGTGTCCACATGATGTGGTGAACTCCCTTTGGGCGTGCGCCACCTTTGTGCAGTTCGTTGACCGTCGATTGTACCCTATCGGCGCCCCGGAGGAACGTGTGTGTGCGCGTGCCTGTCTGCACGCCTGAGCAGGCGCTCCGCTGCCTCTGCTTTTCCCATCTTTTTTCGGGCCGGTGCTGCTTGGCCGCTCGGTTGCCCGGCAGGGCAAATACCTCCTTCGTGGTTGATGCATGCTCTTGTGCATCCTGGGGAGGGCACCCTTGGCCGCCGTTCCGTGTGTCTGGGCCGACGGAGGGTCTCATGTTCCCGAGGGAGGTTCTTCTGGCCCGGGTCCGACTGCACGCGGACGCCGCAATCCGTCCTGCTTGTGCCTCTTGGGAGGGCCCTCTGTCTTGGCACTGCCTGTGCTGCCTCTCCCTTCGCCTGCTCTCTCGCTCCGCCCCTCTCCCTTGCTCGGGGCCTTCCGCGTATGCGGCTGCCTGCCCGGCCCCCAGTGCTGGTTTTGCTTTGGCCGAGCAGGTGTCCGCGCCGCCGCCGCCCACCAGTAACTTGTCCGGCCGTTGATCGGCGGCAAGCGAGGGGGGGGAAGTGAGAAGGAGAAGGCCTTCTCAGAAGGCGGCGGGACTTCCGCTTTGCACCCGCCTTTTACAGGTCAGGCCTGGGCGCTCGGCACCCTCTGCTCCCTGTCTCTGGGGCTTTCTCTGTACGGTGCACGCTGTTTGTTTTTGTGAGTGTACCCGCCTAGCACAGCCACCCTCATTGTTCTGCTCGCGACTCGCCCTGCGGTGTCCACGCAAATGCTGCGCATGGCAGAACTAACGCTAAGCGTGGCCTGCCTTAGCCACTCGCTGCAGTGCCGTCACTCGCCCGCTTGAGCGAAAAAGTGTATGTGTGTGTGTGTTTGTGTGCGTGTTTTTCCACCGAAGGTGGTGTGGGCACGTCCTCGGCTTGTTCTGGGCGTCCGCGTACGAGACGCCAGCAGGTGTTCCTTCCCCCGCGGACACTCGCCATTGTATTGCCGCCACTCTCCCATCGGGGTCCCATCAACGCCTGTGGGAATTAGGTATACCCCTTGAGGACACTTGCGCCTCCATACGCACACGCGTTCGCCGCGCAATGAATCTCCGACGACCCTCCCGACCTAATCACGCCACTGCTCTGGTCTGTTGCTAAGCGCCGCGGCAACGTCCACGGTGCGCTGCAGCTGTGTCACATGTTGCACCATTCCCGCCCGTTCGATGCAACCTCCCCATCCGAGCACGATTTTTCATCAACGACGACACTTTCGCGATTGACTCGCTCTCAGCGATCTCCGCAGTACCTGCGATCATGTGCTGGTTTTCTGCGAGACGTGCGATCTCCGCAGTTCTGTGCGATCATGTGCTGGTTTTCTGGTGAACCGACCTTGAACACCGCATCCGCGGCGCTGGGTGATATGGCACAGCTGAGCGGAGTTGGGTTTGCTCCTGGCCAGGTGCTCGTTCCTGTTAAGCACCGCACGTCTGCCGACTACTCTGCGCACTTCCCCTGTATCGCTTAGCGCGAGCCTCGTGCTGGCTTCATCGTGGCCCGCTACTCTTCGGTCGGGATCCGAATCGGCAATGTCGCATATTGCGTTACCGCCGTAGCGTAGTCAGCCGCCACTTCCCCCCCGACGTTATTGCAATCCTCATGCCTGTGCGAGGGTCCCCAGTTGCGCTCGTGCTGACACATCTGTAACGGGTTCTTCGGCCCACTTGCCCCACGACCTCTGGTCTAGTTGTGTCCGAGGCGTCTCCACTTGTGAGTTGATTGAGGTTCGGCCGCGCATGTCCTCAGCGGTCTTCGGTGTGGCACGCCTCTGCTTCGCGTTTCTGCGCCAACTCCTGGGCTTCTCGCTGCCTTATCCTGCTTGAGCTGGCGTCCCTGGTCTGGTGCCTCTTCGTGCGAGCGCACACTGTCAGAGCCCCGAATCATCAGGGGTAACTCGGGTCAGGGTTAACTCGGGTTCGTTTTTCGGGAATCCGAACCCGACTTACCCCGGACCCGAGTTACCCCGGATAATTCGGGCGTCCAGAGCCCCACATCATCAGGGGTAATTCGGGTCAGGGCTAACTCGGGTTCCTTTTTCGGGAATCCAAACCCGAGTTACCCCGGACCCGAGTTACCCCGGATAACTCGGGCGCCCAACACTGGCTAACCATGTCACACTGTCCCCTTCCTTGTTTTTCAAGCTGTAGTTTACATTCCCTTATTCAGAGTCCGCTTGACACCTGCAATGCCTCGGCACTCTTCCCGCGCCCGTTGCGGCCCTCTCTGCTCCCGTGTCTCCCCTTGGCCTGCTGTTTTTTTTGCGTCTCTTCCTCCTCTGGATGCTGTCTCAACGTGCTTCAAGCAGCATCACACTTACCCCGAGATCCTCCGCGGCGCCTCAGTCCACCTGGGAAATAGCGTGCGTGCGTGCGTGCGCGCGTGAACATGTGTGCCTGTGCGCGCATGTGGCCATGTGCGCATGTGTGTGCATGCGCGAATGCTTGTATGACTGTTGCGCGCCAGTTTGCTCTGGTCGCATTCTCTGTCAGTGCTTACGTTGTGCAGCACGTCGTTGGCATGAACCAGACTAAGCCCCGCAGCAATCCGGCCCCTCTTGGATCATTGTTCTTTGTTGGATGCCGCACGTGCCCAGGCGTTGGCGTCTGAACTGTCTGCGGCATGTGCAGGCATTTGCGGCGGCTCTTTTCAGAGCCTCTGCAGAGTCGCGTGGGCATGTGCATCCGACTGTGCGGCATGTGCGGGCACGTTCGGCACCCTCCGGACCCGACAACGCGAACGAACACGTTGTCGGAGGTGGTTCTGGGGTGCGATCGGCATGAAGTGCGATCTCCCAGCCGGGAAGTCTGATTCGGTTTCGATACGCGTCGTGAGTGACGCTGCGTGCGGGCGGGGCGAAGCTGCGCGAGGGCGAGGCAGATCCTGACCTTGTCATAGGGCACGTTGCTATCATCGTGTTCCTTCCCTGGCCGCGGGGCGGCGGAGGGGCCAGGGCTGTCCCGGAGGTTGTCCCGCAGTCGTCCTTCTCGATTGTCTCGTGGTTGCCCCGTGTCTGTTCCACTGCTGTTGCGTGGTTGTCTCGTGGTCGTTTCGTGGTTGTCCCGCGGTTGTCGTGTCGTTGCTTTGTGGCAGTCGCGCGGTTGTCACGCGGTTGTCTCGCGGTTGTCCCGGGATTGTCCCGTGGTTGTTTTGCGAGTCTTCTGTGGTTGTTCCGTGTTTGGCCCGTGGTTGTTCAGCGGTTGTTTCGTTGTTGTTTTGTGGTTGTCCAAAGGTTGTCCCCGGGGTTGTCAGATAGGAAGAGCGGCCATCGGGAGATCGATAGACAGATATCGAGTCTGTTCGATAAGTAGATTTCGAATTCGACCCGACGCCAATCGCAAACCGAAAGTTGTTCCCAAGCCTCCTTATCATAATATCGGAACATATGATTGCGAGTCCAGTATAAACGCGACGACACTTGCTCATCCCAAACCAGGCAACATGTTTGCGACTTGACATGGGTTCGCGTGAGGAACCGTAAACGTCACTATATTCATCCGTGTGCCCCTCACCCTGACCCGAGACCGTAAACACGCCTTCAGCTCATCACGCGTTGTCTTCGAAACTCGGGGTTCCTGCAAATTCGGACGTGGCCCTTCTCCGCGCTATACTGTATAGGCCCCAAGAGATGTAGAAGCCGAGCGCGCGCGATGTGCGCGCGATGGGTCTAGCTGGTATCTGGCTGACGTCTGCGTGTGGTGTGAATGTGTGTGTGTGTGTGCGCGTGCGCGTGCGCGTGCGTGTGTGCGCGTGCTGCAGGTGTTCTCTGCGCCTTCTCTGTGCGCGACCCGCGCGCGTGCGAGTCTTGAGTGTGGTGTGGGTGCTGTACGTTCGCGTGCTGCGCTTTCTCTGCGGGGTGCCCGCGCGCTCGCGCCGTGCATCTCTTGACGAGCAGCGCACTGCGTGCCTGCGCCCTGCGACCGGGGCCTCTGACTCGAGGCCCTATGGCGTGGGCGTGCGATGGCACTCCGATGGCGGCGGCACCCCGCGGCGGCGCGCCCCGGGGCGCCGCCCTGCCCAGGGGCGCGCTCGTGGCGCTGGCGCTCGGGGTGCCGAGGGCGTCCGCCGCCCGGAAGTACTGGGAGTTCGACCCCAGCCAGCCGCACAGGTCGGGTGTTGCCAGAAGTGCCCCTGGGCCAAGGTGCCCCCAGGATTCTCGGGGTAGCCCAAACGGCCTCCAGAGCACCCCTCACGAGGCCCAGAGGGCCCCATGGGCTCCAAAATGGAGCGAAGAGCTGGGGGCACCTTGGGCCAGGGGTACCTCTAGCAACACCCGAACAGGGTGGCCCTCAGCCAGTGCAGCGCGGGCTTCTCGTGCCCGGCCGGCCAGCGGCCCGTGCAGCAGCCCGAGGCATCGCACAGGGCGTGGTCCTGGTCCGGCTGTGCCCCCGGTGCTCCCCTGGAGCGGGGCGTCGACGCACAGTCGGGGAACAGACAACGACACAAACGTAGAACGCGGAGGTCCGCGCGGATTCCTCCGATCCCTGGCGCGCGGAGCGCGCCAGGGGCGGCGCCGGAGGCGGCGCCAGGGATCCGAGGGATCCGCGCGGGTTTCGATGTGTCATGTTTGTGTCATTGTTGGTTCCCCTACACATGGCAGAGTTGTCGTGCCCACCCCAGAGATCTGCTGCAGGATCAAGTTCGTCTGCGCCAGCACCTGCGGAATGACGTTCGCGCAGTGCTTCAGCAGATACTGGGAGTGCGTGGAGAGGGAGTGCCCCAAGCTTGGGAAGGCGGCCGGATCCAAGCAGGAGCGGGAGGAGGTGGTGCAAGCCTGCGTTTCTGGCGCAACCAGGCACGACTTGAGCCAACTGCCGGCCACGCGGGGGGCCTTCGAGGATGACAGCAAGCCGACGCTCAGCGGCCTAGACGAGCAGCGGATCGTCGAGACGGAAAGCAGCGACTGGGAGCGCGTGAGTGACCTGGAACACGGCCACGACGTCATGCGGTTGAGCCGGGAGAAGGCCCACAAGCTTGGCAAGGCACCGCGGGACAAGAGCCACAGGCATTGCGCAGACTTCGACCTGCTTCAGCGGCAGGCGTGCGACTGCGTGCCGGCCGGGGAGTGGGACGTCAGGCTGCAGGTACGGCTGGAGGATTTTCTGCGCCAGTACGAGCCATCAATGCTCAACAAGAGGGGCAAGCTGAAGAACAAGAGAGTCTGGAAAGACTACAAGGGCAAGCGCCCTGAGATGTTCTTCAGGCTGTTCATGGACTTCTCCGCGAAGGGTGCAGTGGCAGTGCGGAACTTCACGGCTCGAAGCTCCCCGAGCCGCGGGCGTGCTGGCCACGTCGGCGACGAGCTGTAGTTCCGAGAGAGGCTGGCGCCAAGCGCGCGGCGGGCGCCGGGCGACGCCACGAGCCACGGGGGCGGGGGGGGGCCGCGGGGCGCTTGTCACCGCAGAGAAGCGCTGCACGCGCCCCTCCCTCGGAGAGGTCGCGGGCGCCCCGGGTGGGGGCACGAGCCAGCCGTGCGGGCGGGGCGCCGGGCTCAGGTCGGTTCGGGGAGGGTGCCCTCGTGCTCGTCGTGTTCGCGGGGTGTTCTTGTGCATCCTGGGGGAGGGTACTCCAAATCCCCTATTCATCGACCCCCCCCTAAAAGACCGGACCCCCCTCCAAATGCGACCTAACTCATATTCCAGACCCCCCTCTTCGATGGGGCGCCGTAATGAACCAGACCCCCGAAGCTCCAATCCAAAGAAAGCGCCCTGATGAACCGGACCCTCCTGGTGACAACAAGGCTCGCCTTCAAAAACCGGGCTCGGGGGACGATCAATAATTAAGGGACTTGGAACACCCCGCGCATGGCTCGAGGCCGCGGGCCCCACGCCGAACGCGCAAAGCTTGATCCCACTCCTCCTCCTCCTCCTCCTCCTCCTCCTCCTCCTCCTCCTCCTCCTCCTCCTCCTCCTCCTCCTCCTCCTCGAATGTTTTTCAGGTTGGCCAGCGGAGGGTCTCGCGTTCTCGGAGGGTGCCCTTCGGGGCCCAGGTCCGACCGGCAGCACGGGGGAAGCGGGTCCTGAGGGGAGCGGGCCCTAGGCCCCGGGGCCGTCCCCCGAGGGCGCGATCTCCATCCCGCGTCGCTCTCCGGCGGGCCCGCGGGGCCCCCGGAGGGCCCCGGAGGGGGCCCGAGGGCGGCGAACAAGATCGCCGGGGCCCGCTGCCCCGGGGGGCCCAGCGCTGCCTCGATGCCCACGCGTGGAGGCGCCGCGCGCCCCGTGCTCCGAGCGTCCGTGCCATCGCGCGGTGCGTGCTGGCTCGGCGCAGCGGCCCACGACTCGGCGAGCGCAGCGCGTCCGACCTGGGGGGGGGGAGGAGGAGGAGGAGGAGGAGGAGGAGGAGGAGGAGGAGGAGGAGGGCTCTCTTGAGGCCGTCTTGGGCCGTCCAGGGCTCCTCTTGCGCCCTCTCGAGGCACTCTTGGAGGCCTCCTGGGCCATTTGGGCGCTCTAGCAAGGGCCTTGCCCTCGAGGGTAGCACGCGTGGTCGCCTGTTCCTCGGCGGAGGGGCGGCGGAATAGGTCGGGGGAAGAAAAAAACGAGGCCGCCTCCGCGGTCCGCGGGCGCAGGCCGGCGGAGGGCGGCGGAAGTAGAAAAGCTGCGCCCCCCAAGAGGAGAGGACAAACACGTTTTTGTTGGGGGGTTCAGGGTTCCCGACGAGTCGCCCACGCGGTCCGTCGACGTGGGGAGCTCCGCAGCAGTACGCTGCGTGCTGCGTGTCTTGCGCATCGGGGCAGCTGCAGTCGAGGCTGGTTAGTGGGCCGACCCTGCCAGATCAAGGGTACTCTGGTGTCCTGCGCTTCGCGACCCATGCCTTCGACATTCCTGCGGCAACGTGGCCCTCGGAGGGGTCTTGTGTCCTCTCGCGTTTCCTCTCCAATCAGCCCCGACTGTGAGAGCTCAGGGCCCGTCTCGCCCCCCCCACCCCACCCCAATGGCGGCAGCCGTCATGCGGGCGGCGCGGTCGGTGAGGCGGCGCGCCGCCCGCGGCGGCGCCCTTTGGGGGGCCCCCGCGCGCGCGCGGAGGGCGGCGGTGCGGAGGACAACGACGACGACGACGACGACGACGACGACGACGACGACGACGGCGGCGGCGGCGGCGGCGACGACCACGACCACGCCCACGACCACGACCACGACCACGACGACGACGCGCCACGGGCGCCCGCCTGCCAGGGGGTGCCCCCCCAGTCCCCCTGTACAGCTCAGCCCCACGACACGGTGGTCGTTGGAAGCAGGTGCCTCTGGATCTCCAGGTCCCAGTCCACCTCAAGCGCCTCGCTATTTCAAGTGGCGATCTGCCTTTGCGGCTGTTTGCTCTCCTCTGGGCGGGCCCGAGCCCTGTGTCAAGTTGCCACCTGCTTCTTCCGACTGGTGGTGGCTACCGCTTTCGGATGGGGGGCCCCAAGACGGCGTGGTGGCCACACCGCGTGGGGAGCCAGGGGGGGATTCAAAGTCACCGCGATGTGCTGGGACTCGCGCCGTTCTCCGAGGACGTCTCGGGGGACTGGTGCCTCCAAGGTCCCAAGACCGTGCGATGACGGACCGCGCAGTGAGGTCTCGTGGGATTTCGAGGTCACCGCGTGGCTCGTTTCTGGGACCCCCGATCAGAGGAGGGCCAGTTGAACAAGGGCAGTTTGCATTCGGGGGGGGGCCCTCGTCGCCACGGCTGGACGTAGCTCGGCAAACTGGTGCGTTTGGATCCGCGGGGTCCAGTGACCGCTTTTGAGCTACCGTTGTCTCAAGTCGCCCTCCGAGTCTCCCGCCCGTCCCCTGCTCCCTCCACCCCTCCTGTCCCTTGCTCTTACCCCCCTTCCCGCCCACACGATTTGCACATGGTTGAGAAGTTCTGCATTTGGCGGATGTGGACTTCCTGACAGGTGCGTGTTCACTGTCAAGCTCATTCGTGCGCAGCGTGTGTTGTTGCAGGGTCTGCCGGAGGGAGAGGGTTGAACCGATCGTGTTCTCTGACGTTCAAATCCAGTAGGCGGCCGGAGGGAAGGCTGGCCGGAGGGATCGTGTTGAACCGAAGGCTGGCCGGAGGGAAGGCTTCCAATGTTCAAGATCTAGTACATTGTACTGGATCTTGAACGTCAGAGGGCCTGGCTTCTCCCCTCGCCTCCCCTCTCCCTCGGCCTCTCCTGCAGCCCCTTTCCCCATCCTGGCTCGCCCATTCTCTTCGAGAACAAAAGAACCCCTAAGCCTAATAACACGATGAAGACGTGGCCTCGCCGAGGTCCCCGTCTCTGCATTAGGGATCACAGAGCTGGACGGTGTGGTTCGATACGCCAGCAGGAAGGACCCCCAATCCCTACGTAATGCTTGCGGCCCTCCGAACTTGGGTCCCCTCCCAAAGGGTTGAGGGCCTTTTTTGGTTGCTCACATTCCCCCCCCCCCCCCAGACCCCCTCCCCGTCCCGTCCGTCCCCCCTCCCAGCTCCCTCCCGTGTCCAGGGCTTGGAGCATTCGGGATTCCTTCCCCCCCCCCCCTCCCCAGTCCCCCTCGTCCCGTCCGTCCCCCCTCCCAGCTCCCTCCTGTGTCCAGGGCTTGGAGCCTACGGGATTCCTTCGCAGTGCGTCCGCCTCGCGCAGGCCGCTCCTCACCCGCGGTGCTCTCCCGGCGCGCAGGTGCTGCTTCTGAACCCCTTCCCACGGAGGCCCACGTCCGACGACGGCCCCCCCTCCTCCCCGACCTCCCTCCCCTGGCTGGCCTCGCGGGGCCGTGGGAGCCGCGCGGCGCGCGTGCCGCGTGGGGCTTCTGGACGAAGCCGCGTGGGGCGCGCTCCGCGGCCGGCTCCCTGCAGGCCCTCGAGGCAGCACCCCTTTCAGGCCACGTGCTGCCTTGCAGAACACCACGGCCACCCCCGGAGCCGCCGTGCGCCCTCGTCGACCCTGGCCGCTCCTCCGGGCTCGGCCGCCTTGCTGCCTCGCCGCCCCCACCTCCTGGGGCCCTCTCGCTCCCAGCCTCGGCCCCCGACTCGTCTTCGCGGTTCGCCCCCACCCTGGAGCCGCCCGGCTTCCCTCGGCCGCCGCCTCTTCTGGCTCGGCAGCCGGCTTCCTCGGCCGTGGCATCCCCCGGCTCGCCCTCGGCTGAATCCCTCCCGCCTCCCGGGGCTCTCGCCATCCTCGGCTGCACGTCCTCTGTGCGCGCGCGGGGGGGGCGTGTCCCTGCCCGGCAGCCTCGCGGCCTGGACTCCTCGGTCGGCGACCCCATGGAGACAGGGCTGGTTTGCGCGGATGCCCCGTGCGGAACGCATCCACGGGACCGCGCATCCACGGGATCGCGGCCTCGGCGTCCGGACCGACACGGATATGTTCGTCACGTGTGATAGCTCGTCCGTCCTGCAGCCACCAGGCGTCCCTCGGCCGCGGCCTCTCCCAGCTCGGCCACCAGCATCCCTTCGGGCGCCTTCGGCTCGGTCCCTCCCGCCTTCGGGGGCCCTCTCCAGCCTCGGCTTCGGTCCCGTTTTGTTCTCCAAGCCCCACGAACGTATGGGTGGACATTGTTTTCGGTGTGGTGTATCCGCCTCCCTCCTCCACCTTTCCTCCCATGCACTTCACGGTCACATTCACTCGTATTCAGACTCACTCACGCTCTGATCCTCTCACACCCAGACCATTCAGACTCTGACTCACTCATGTTCAGACCAGCTCACGGCCAGATCTACTGAAGTCAGATAGTCCCAATAATATTCAGATGCGCAGATCCACTCATACCCAGACTCACTCACACTCAGTCTCGTGCGCGCTCACGCACGCTCGGTTAATAGAGGTTCTTCACACTCAGACGCTGAACGCAACTCTCACTTACGGCGACTCTCTTTTCATATTCCCGTGGCCCACGATCATCACACGGCGCTTGGGCACCCTGAGGGGAGCCGCCACGTGGTGTATTAATGGTCCGTTCGCGCCCAGATTGCGGGGACGTCTCAGGCGAACCGCATCTGTTGACCTAGTGGGCGAGCTTCTTCTCAGAGCCCCAACATCTCAATGTAGCAGGCATGGCACTGGAGCAGCCCAGCGGGATGCAGCCAGCGGGTGTATAACATTGGCCCGTTCTCGCCCAGATTGTGGGGACGTCTCAGGCGGAACGCCTGTTTGGCCCAGTGGGTGAGTCTCTTTTCAGAGCCACATGATCATCGCGATGGCGGCATGGCACTTGGGCACCCCAGGGAAAGCCGCCACGGATGTCCCTCTACAGGAGGAATACTCAAAAATATGTTTAAACATAGCCTAGGGGCGATGGTTTGATTATTTGTTCGGCATATGCTTGACAATGTTTCAGTTGTTTTTCCAAATTCCGCGTGCAGGAGGACATGCCCGACCTCAGAGTATATCACTGGACCGTTCGCGTCTTGATGGTGTGGATGTCTCAGGCGAAGCGACTGGTCTAGCATATTGGGCGTTTGGGGGGACGTTTTTTTTTTTGCGGAGACCCATGAGGATCGCAATGTTGCGGGCATTGTACTTACGCAGCCCAAGTGGGAGCCGCCCAGGGGTATATCACGGGCCCGCTCACGCCCGGATGTCGGAGGTGTGTCAAGCGACAAGCGTGGGCTGGCCCAGTGGTGGAACTTCTCTTCATAACCCCATGACCATCGCGATGTAGCAGGCATGAAACTTGCCTTCCCCCGGAGGGTGGGCCGCCAGGGAGCATCTCACGGGCCCGTTGACGCCCGGATTGTGGAGACCCGCTCTTGCTCCGTCACGCACAGGAGAATTTGCAAGACCGTGAGAGGCGCATACACACATGGGGTTCTTCGTGCCGAAGAGTTGCTGCACCTCGAGCTCCTCCTCCTCCTCCTCCTCCTCCTCCTCCTCCTCCTCCTCCTCCTCCTCCTCCTCCTCCTCCTCCTCCTCCTCCTCCTCCTCCCCCTCCCCCCCCTCCCCCTCCTCCTCCTCCTCCTCCTTCTCCTCCTCCTCCTCCTCTTCCTCCTCCTCATCCTCTTCCTCCTCCTCCCCAGGGGCACCGCGCTCCACCCCACGACGCCGCTTGGGTCGGCAGAGGCCAGCGGTGGCAGGTGCCCCGTTCTGCCGGCCTCTCGCTGCAGGGGCGGCCGGGTCCGGGGGGCCAGGGGAGGGCTGTGCTGCCGCTGCGGGGCTCCAGGCCGCCAGGGCCAGAACAGCCAGGGTCGGGGGCTCGCGCCGCGCTGCGATGCTCCGTCGCGACCTAGGTCTGGCCCCGTTCGGGCGGCCTCCAGGGAAGGCGCTGCTGCTGTCGAGAGTGCGCGGTGGAAGCGGGGGGCCACAGCCTGTGAGCGCAGACGATGCGCGCGAGCGCTCCGCGCGAGCACGCGCGGAGGGCACCGCCGTTAGTGGACACAGGCACGGGCACAGCACGGGAGTAGGAGGACTAGGCGCAAGCAGTGGCGATCGCGGCAGCATCATGGCGATTGCGGCAGCCGGGGGAATTGGCGATTGCGGCAGCAGAATGCGGACACAAACGCGAGTGATATTAGTTCAATTTCCAGTGAATGATCGGGTGATTTGAGGTCATACGGGATTGGTGGTCGATTGACTGTGTCTGAACGCGTTGAGCCGTGAGGCTCAAGAGATAGAGCATGCGGAGGGGCCTTACGCAAGCGGAGTATCCTGAACCCTTCCGCGATGGTGCCTCTGATTGCGGTGAGTTTTCTGGCGAGGAGATGGGGACTCACCGTGAAGCAGCGAGTTAGAAAACATCGAGTCTCGTCCAAATATGAGTAGGAATGGCCATGAGCGAACAGTCGTCGTCCTGCAGTACCAATCGGGTTGATGGGAGTCCGCTCATTGCGAACCAAGCTCCTGTCTGGTGGGGCCTGGCCCAATGGGGGTGCTCGCGGTGTCGTTGGCGCCAGGAGGTTGGGCCGCCTTGTCGTGTTCCAGTGCCACTTTGTGTTCTGTGTGCAACATTGGTGTTCAAGCGTCTTTGCTATAGTAAGTTTTCAAATTGACAGACTGACTTGTGAGTACTTGTTCCTATTATGAGAAAGGGGGGTACCTTGCGCGGCGCAAGACAGCGTATGCACACATCGCTTCAAGTCGGACTTGGGTGTGTCGACAGCTTGGTTGTGATATAGTGCAAGTCATGAGCTACGTACGTGTAGCCCCATGTCAGACACATCATGGCATGCTTGATGTTGAACCATTGGGAGGTCGTAGGGCATTCGCAAGTGGAGTGGCACCACGACGAGCAAGCTCATTAAGACAGCGCTTGAAACAGCACAGCAGTCATTGTGATATTCATGGAGACCTGACTGGACAGCAGTCGCAGTATCAGCCACTGACACTATTGTTTCTCCACTTTTGTTCAGAACATTTTGTTTCAGGGAGTGGGAACAGCATCAGCGTGACAAACGTAACACAATCCAGATGTTTGCAGGACGGCAGCTACACCGAGACTGACAACGAGCACGAGTCGATGCCAGATATCTGCAAGCGGGTTATCATTCACTAGTTACCGCTCGACCCGCCACTCAGATCTGCAATTCGCCGGCTAGCCCAGAGAGGTTGAAGAGGAGGAGGGAGGAGGGATGTCGACGAGGAGGAGGAGGCGGGCGGGGTCATGAACCGACACGTCCTGAGCAAGGACTGGGCTCCAGACCCTGAGTCTTGACCTGCTTCCTAAGCGGCGTGTTGCACCTAAGGGCCCTTGCCTGTGTTGAGAAGTCTTCGGAAAGGCGTGGCGGGGCTTGCCCGGGGAAGGGAGGGGGCCCCACGCAAAGACAGGGAGGACCCGTTCGTCGACTACAACAGGACGACGGACTAAGGGATACGTCGCGCGGTCCGCGCGCTGTGGAGCCCTCATCGAAAGGCTCGACGAAAGCTTTGCCCGGGAGGGCGGCCGTGGGCGCCGCGTGGGCGCACCGGCGCCCCGTGCGCTGGGTGGGTGGGTCGAGTTTTCGCCTGGCGGGTGGCCGTGGGCGCCTCGCGCGGCGCCCCGTGCGCCGGCTGGGTGTGTGCTGGGTCTCTCTCGGGGGGCGGCCGTGCGCGCCTCGTGGGCGTCCCGTGCTCTGGCCGGGCGTGTCGAGGTTTCGCCTGGTGGGCGAACCCTCGTGGGCGACACGTGGGACCCTCGCGCCGCCTGCGCTGCACTGGCTGCATCACATGACCCAGACCAAGTTGCTGACGCCTCAAGGTTTTCTCCGCGCATGCTGCGCAGCATGGCTTTCCCACACAGCTGCCACGCATAGCTTGTGCCCATCGTCTAGACCGCATTGCTTATCCCACATAGCTTGCACCACACATACCTTGCATTGCATTGCCTGCAGCGCGCATATCTTGCACCACATAGAGTGCATCGCATAGCTTGCGCGCCCAGAATGCAAGAGCTCCCCACTCGGGATCAACACGGGCAAACATTCTTCAAACAGCGCTTGCACTTAGGGGTTCTTCCGTCTGGTCTGAGGAATTGGGCTGGTGTGCTGCTGTGGCGGCTATGGTGTCGCACTTGCCGCCCCGTCGACGCCTCGTCGCCGCCCGTCGTCTGGGCCGGTGTGCCGCTCTGGCGGCTATGTTGTCGCCGTCGTCGCCCCGTCGCCGCCTCGTCGCCGTCCGTCGTCTGGGCCACTGTGCCGCTCTGGCGGATATGTTGTCGCCGTCGCCGCCTCATTGCTGCCCGTCGTCTTGGCCGGTGCGCCGCTCTGGCGGATATGTCGCCGTCGCCGCTTCGTCGCCGCCCGTCGTCTTGGCTGGCGTTGCGGTCTGGCGGATTTGTCGTCGCCGTCGCAGTCCCGTTGCCGCCTCGTCGCCACTCGTCGTCCTGGGCCTCGCTTGCGCAACATAGTGCACTCCCTCCCCCTGTCACATCGCTTCTCCTGGGGTTTTCCATTTTACATGCGATACTGCCCAGTGTTAATTGCAGATATGAGTTCGCACTATCCCAGTCAGGCTGGGTTCTCCCCCTCGCCCTTGGCAAATAAGACCATGCGCGCACATTCGTTTGTTGAAACCATGAACTCGCAGGAATCCATTTGGCGCACAAAACGGGACACAGTTCACGCGCGCGGCGCCGCGCGTGCATGCCACACTCATTCAAAAACCGCAGGGGTCTTAGAGATCTCGGATCGAGGTTCCCGAACATATCTACAACAAAACGATGGTTTTGCATCATGATGTTTCAAACGTGTCGGCGCGCGCGCCTTTGCGAGTTCTTATCTAACGCCTGGTTTTTCAACAGGTTCATCAAATCCGACCACCAAGCGGGCCTTTCGCGCGCGCGTGTCGGAATCATTCGAACCCCCTTGCGCGCGTACTTGGGGTGCACGATGCCCGTCATATCACACCATGCGAGCCACTCGTGCGCGTAGGCCACGCGCGCATGCAGAAATCCTTCCAACACCTTCATCACCGACACGTGGACACCATCATCGTCATCGGCGTGATCAGCATCGGCGTCGTCATTGGCCTTGCCGTCGTCATCGTCATCATCTTCACCAGCGTCGCTACTATCATCACCGCGCCTGCCGCTGCCGACGTCGCCGTGCTACCGCGCCCGCCCGAGTTACCGACTCGCACTGAAGTGCCCGCGCGTCAACGAGGCCTGCAGGACGCGGTGGGAAGTCCTGAGTGGTCAGCGTTGCCGCGGCCGCGTCGGTCGCGCCAGACTAGCTGGCCGCGCTGCACGCGAGGCTGCGCGCTAGCGCGGCCGCTGCGATGCAGCCAGTGCCGAGCCGCCCTCGCCTTCGCCGTTGCGGGAGTTTTGCAACCCAAGTTGCGGTTGGGTGGGCGGGACGATCGCGCGAGCAGCGGGGTTGACAATTTCAAGTTCGGCAGGGTGACGCACTTCCCTCTTCAACGAGAACATGGGGACCCCCCCCCTCCCCCTGGACTAAACAGGCCACCTTTTCGTAATTCTGCGCCCTCGTCCTTCTAAAGATGAGCCCGTGCCCCCTCATCCCCTGCAGCACAATACGCGCGGGCATTCGTTTACCAGCAATCAACAATTTTCAAGAATCCCCAACCGAATAACTTAACGAAAGGCACCCGCGCGCGTCGTCGCGCGCGAATGCTGGAACGTCTCAAATCATCAGTTACCGCAGGGATGTTCAAAGTGCAAGCAAACACGGTTGTGCAACATTCGTTTCCAAAAAAGTCTGCGCGCGCCCTTGCAAATCCCCGAGGAAACCATCGTGTCCAACATGTTTATCAAATTCTACCGAACGAGCCTGTCGCGCCGCATGTCGAAGGCATTCAGACGCTCTTGCGCGCGTGCTGGGGGGGCACGATCCTTCCAAATAGTACCGCGCGGGCCACTCGCGCGCGTCGGCCGCGTCCGCATGTCGAACTCCTTCCAGAGCCTTCGTCGTCGACGCGAGGACACAGTCATCGCCGCCGGCGTGATCAGAAACAGGTCCATCATTGGCATTGCCGTCGTCATCGTCATCATCGCCACCACCACCGCTACTATCATCATCGCGTTTACCGTTGTCGACGTCGCCATGATACCGCGCCCGCCCAAGGCACCAACTCTCTGTGAAGTGCCAGCTGGGAGCCACCGCGGCCGCGTCGGTCGCGCCAAAGGAGCTGACCACTGGGGGCGCTCGCAAGAATCCCCCACAAACGATTGGGCGCAGCGCGCGAAATTATCATAACAAAATGTTCGGTGTCGCAAAGATATCAAAATCGAGTGTCCCGGGAACCTATTAAACAGAAGGTTTTGCAACATCGGTTGTCAATATTTGGGCGCGCGCTTCTGCGAACTCTTAAGAACAATCTGTTGCGTTTTTGAACTTTTTCATCCGATCCGACCAAGCGGGTGTCTCGCGCGCCCATGTCCAAATCATTCGAACGCCCTTGCGCGGGCGTTGGTGGGGCGGGGGATGGGGAGGGGGGCGCGATTTTTGCCAGAGAATGCCATGGGGGCCGCTCTCGCATGTCCAGCGCCTTCCACACCTGTCATCGCCGACGCGAGGACACCATCATCGTCGTCGGCGCGACCGGCATCGGCGCCGTCATTGGCCTTGCCGTCGTCATCTTCATCATCGCCACCATCATCGTTACTATCATCATCGCGTTTACCGTTGTCGACGTCGCAATGATACCGCGCCCGCCCGAGTCACCGACTCTTTGTGAAGTGCCCGTTGGGAAATGTTTAACGGTCAGCGCCACCGCGGCCGCATCGGCCCCGCCAAACTAGCCGGCCGCTGGGTGCACGAACGCGCGCGGGCTGCCGCGGCCGCAGAAATGCACCAGCCAACGCCAACCGCTCACCGCAATCGCCGCTACATGTGTTTTGCAAACCAGGTTGCGCGTGGGCAGGTGGGGTTTACAGCGCAAGCAGTGGAGTTGACCATTTCAAGTTTTCCAAATTGCAGTGCGCCGCGTCAACTGCACCACTGCGCCACGTGAGTCGCACATCCTAAATTCTCTTTTCTTACTAGTATAGATATTCCCCCCCCCTCGGGGACTATCGGTACCCATTTTTGGTTTTTCAATTTACATATGTTCGGGCCTGCCGTCCATCTTAAATATGAACCAGTACCGTCCCAACCCAACCGGTATCGCCCCCCCCACACGCCATCTTTTGCAGAAAATTCTATGCGCGCGCGCTCGTTTATCAAAATTCAGCAGTTTTCAAACATTCCTTGGAAAAGTTGGACGAAGTGCTTCAGAACCGTTCGTTTCGTAAGGATGTCGAAATCGAGTGTCCGAAAAACAGATCGAAAGCACAGGGTGTCGCAATACCCATTTCCAAAAAAAAAAAACTTGCGCGCGCTTTCTTGCGAATTGTTGAGAACACCATCGGTTCCATTTTTATAAGGTGCTACCAAACGGGCCTCGCGCGCGCATGTCGAACTCGTTTGAACGCCCTTGCGCGCCTGCTGGAGTGGCACGATCCGTGTCAAATAATAACATGGGGCGCAATTTTCGCGCTTCGCCGCACGCGCATTTCGAACTCTTCCAAAACCTTCATCACCGACGCGAAGACGCCGTCATCGTCGTCGGCGTGATCAGCATCGGCGCCGTCACTGGCTGCCCCGTCGTCGCTGTCAGCATCGTCGCCCGCATTGCTACTATTATCATCGTGTTTACGTCGTCGGCGTTGCTATGATACCGCGCTCGCCCAAGTCGCCGACTCGCATTGAGGTGCCCGCCGGGATGTGCCGAACGGTCAGCGCCACCGCGTTCGCGTCGGTCGCGCCAAATTAGCTGGCCGCTGCCCGCGCGAGCATGCGCGGGCTAGCGCGGCCGCAGATATGCAACAGCCAACACCCAGCACTCATCGCAATCGGTTCAGCGTGGGTTTTGGAAACCACATTGCGAGTGGATGGATGGGATGGTTGCGCGAGCAGTGGAGTTGACAACTTCAAGTTCGGCAAGTGAATTCTCCTTTCTAAAGACTCGACCCCCCCCCGGACTTATCGCTTCCCCTGGGATAGTATGATTTCATGTATATATTCTGCGCACTCGCCCATCCTAAATATGAAATCGTATCATCCCAGCCAAACCGGGTT